AAGTTTGAGAGCATTTTTAAATCCAAAAATGGGGCATGAAAAGTCAGGTAGTCTAATAGAGACTGGACTGAGAGTAATGTAATCTATAACAAAAACAACAACAACAACAACAACAAAAATAAAAGTAATGCCATCTGCTGAATTCCAGAACCCTATGTAGGACACCCTGTTTACTTTAGATTCCACTGTACAGCAACAATCCAAATGACCCAGATTTTTCAATATTGAGCAATACTGTCATTTTGTTCAGCAAGACTTCTCTTGAGCCAAATCTGTCTACTGAACAAATGCACAGTGTGGATTCAGATGAGGTCATTGCTTTCTTTGTAATTTCAAGAGCATTTAGAACTTAACTCCTGAATTGAGCTTCCTCCATATAATTAACTCTTTCTTTGACTTTTCTTTTATTCAGGATCGCTCACTTGGCAAGATTGGAAGCAAATCCCTAAGCCCAGGTGTGCTGAACTGTACAGCATGTCATGCAACTTGAGTCTCAGTTTCTCCAGCCCGAATAAAAGGGGATATAAACACTGCCTGCTATAGAATGGGTTTGAAGACCAAGTGGGATGGTGGAAGTGAAAGTATCTTGTCAACTATAAGTAGCTATGCAATATTGTTCAACAGGCAACTGTTGAACAATTTCTAAGCGTCAGTACCATGAAGGACGGTGAGGATTTGAAATTGGCAAGGAAAGTGTTCTAAAGAAATTTTTATCATTTTTCATTAAGTCTTAATACTTTCAGAGGATCAGTACACTTGGGGAGTTGTAAGATGCTATCGAGACTTTGACAGATGAACGATTAAAATAATCAGAAAATGATGAGATTAGCTTCCTGGAGAAGTCACCTTAAAAGAGGATTTCTTTAGGTCAAAACTCTTTTTTTTAATGTTTATTTATTCTTGAGAGAGAGAGACAGACAGACAGACAGAGAGAGCAAGCAGTCAAGGGTCAGAGAGAGGGAGACACAGAATCAAATGTAGGCTCCAGGCCCTAAGCTGTCAGCACAGAGCCCAACGCAGGGCTCCAACTCATGAACCACAAAATCATGACCTGAGCTGAAATGGGAGGCTTAACTGACTGACCACCTAGGTGCCCCAGTCAATACACAATAAAGCAAAACAAAAAAATATCCAAAGAATCTAATGAAAGCTTGCCTGTATATAAAATAAACTCATGATAACTGTGCTAAAAATTCTTTTATAGCCACTGTTCTTTACTTGGCACTTAATAATTGCTGCCCACTATAATGCATACTTTTTATATACTGCATATCATTTCTCCCCACAAATCCAGAAGATGGGTATTGCAATTCCATTTTATAAAGGATAACTAGAGGTCCTGAGAGGTTAAATAATGCCCCAAATCATTCTTCTAGGAAGTAACAGTCTGAATCCAAACACAGGCTATTTATTTCTCAAGGAGTGGGTGGAGTGTGTAGTAAAAAGAGTTTGAGAACAGAAGTAGGAGTTTGGGCTAGGGAAGTGTTCTTACAGGGGATATCCAGACAAGTAGAGCTGGTCAGGATATCCCCAGCCATGCCCAGAAGTAAGGGGAACCTGATCTATGAACATCCATAGGTAGTCATGGGGCAGACTGCCTCCTGGGTGTCTATCAAGATATCAGACCATCCGTACCTTGGTGAACTGAACGACTGTGATCACCTAGCTCTGACTTTGTTTTCAGAAGGCTACCTTCTGGCAGTAATTTGGTTTCTTGCATAGATTTGATTACTGGAAAGGAACATATAACCGATGTACACTTTTAACACTTGAGCGGAGTTACAGAAGATAAATGTACAATGCCAGAATGCTCGAAACAACATCCCTGAGTCCCATCAACTTTGGATACCCTGGATGAAATCTGCAAAGCTGATAACTAAATCTGGGTCCACAGAGACTCTCAGAGGTTGGGCCTGGGCTATTAGCCACCCCTCATATTTATCTCACACTAAATTCAACAGAGAACCCACCACCATGGAAAGCTATGCCTTCAAACATGGATATTGAATTTCCATGTTGTGTCCAGATCTTTTGGCTCCTCTTAGTTTATAAAGCAAATAGCTGTGTACCGCGGACTTTCATTTCTAATGCTTAGGTGTCTGGAAAGAATCTTTCAATTAGCATCACTAATGAAATAAAATAACCAAACTTATACACTTGTTTTGCTATTGCTTGTGGACTCAGGAAGACCTGGGTCCCATTTCTGACTTTCCCTCTTATTCACTGTGTAAAATGGACAATGTAGGGAATTTCTCTGAACCTAAGCATCCTCTTGGACAGAGTAAGAATAAATATACCCACTAAAAATAAAGAGTGAACCATGATGATGATTTCCAATATATTCTGTCCACAAAAGTAACAAATGAAACAAAACCCACAAAGGATATTCCCATAATGACTTTTTTTCCACTGTTTGTTTTTCATGGTAATTTTTCTTTCTTAAGTTACTGATATTGAACTTATTTAACTGGATCTTTCTCAGACTTATTGATAATTCACTTCACAATATCACTGGAGATTTTGTTTCAATCTGTAAAAATAAATCTAACTTAGATTTGAATAGTTATCTCTGTTTAATGATGTAACCCCTTTGAGCATTGTTTCTTTCTCATACAAGAAAGGGTAGACATAGCCTGGAGGAATTCTCCAGAACTCAGGTCTTGGTGGACCTTGGCAGTTGTCTGCAATGGTGCATGTAACAGCTTTTTAAAAATTATTATTGAAGTATAGTCAACACCTGAACACAACTACTTTATGTAATGGTGTTCAGAAAAAGATACTTCCATCTAGCTCTGCTACTGACCGTGTGACCTTGGCAATGAAACTACCTAGCTGCCATTTGTCCATTGCCCAAATATCATTTCTGTGTCAGACGCTGCATGTACATCTGCTCTCACATTCACAGCAACACACAAAGTGTATTATTTTACCCAGTTTCAAATTACAATGCATCAACATCAAACTGAAGCTCAGAGAGGGTAAGCCACTTACCCCAAGACACAGAAGTTGCACACCACGTTCATTACGGTTTAGACTGACTTCAAAGTTCCTTCTCTTTCTCTTTCACCATGCTATACACCCCCATAAACTCTCCTTAGCCTCTGTGGCATCTTTTAAATGACCTGAAGTCACTCTCTCTACTTAGTGAAGGCTGCCTGCACAGGCAATGAAACTGTGGTATATTACTATTCTCTAATGAGTTTGTTAAAATGAAATATTCATAAATGTATCTGTATTAAAAATTTCATGGTGGTTATGGGCATGTTTTAGGAATAAGGCCAGCATTGATTTGGGGTGAAGAAAGTAATGACAAGTGAACCATCATTTACTTAGTGCCTACCAAGTGTTATATATGTACCATATTTCATTTAATGTAAATATTATATTATTGAGGCTAAGAAGTTCTCAGTGCAAGTGCTATGTGATGCTGCTCCATTATAAAGATGCAGGAATTGAGGATTGAAGGAGATAAAGTAGCATGTCTGGTCCAAGTGGCAGAGTTTGGATCTGGACTAACTTGTCAGACGTTAAATCCCACAGTCTTTCCAGGACAGCACCTGACTCAAGGCAAAGTGAGCTAGAAATAGGGTCTCCTGATGTGAAGACCAATGCTGGCCAGATGGTACAGAAAAGAATAATCTTTGGTTTTAGAATGGTCTTGATTATGGAGTCATCTGAGAGGATTCCTTGGAGAGAAAAAGGAGAAATATCGCCTTTAGATGGCCAGTGTCTAACACTGCTCCAGGAATGGCTGCAAGATGAACTCTAGGAAGCTGCCAAGAAAAACTATTCCTCTTGGTCAGCTCAGGTGCAATCAGGGTACCTCTGAATTCTGTTAGGACATCAGTGGCTGGACAACCTTGAACACTCACTTGGACCACTCGAGTTCTCCTATAAACCAGAGATAATACTACCTAACTCAAAGTGAGGTGTGAGGATCAGGTGAGTTAATGCACACAGACTGGCTTTCAAGAGAGACAGCTGTAAACGCCAGTCACCTTTCCTGTTTCTCTGGGGCATATTTTATCTTTAGTTTCTCAGAGGCTTTCTGAAATTTTGTCATTTCTCCGGCAGACCTCCAATTGGCCTTACTACCAAGGTCTTCCTGGCTTTTGAAATAACCATTCCCTGTGGTTTGAGGGGCCTCTGGGAGTTCAAGGGAGAAACAGCACTGAGGGGCTATGATATAAGAGAAACAAAGAGTGTACTCAGGTAAGTAACATTGGCACACAATAAAAAAATCAGTATTGATAAATTTTAGCCATGACTGTATCTTGTGTCTTTACGTGTCTGTAAAGCAGACAGACTTTGATGACACTTAACTCTCTTTTCTGTGTCACTCGTTTATGTTTTGTTTGTTCTCTTCAAGAAAAACCCAACAGAGATGCCCCTTCCCCGCCCCGCACCTTAGAGGGGGAACACTGTCCCCACCTTCACCCTTACTCTTGGGGTCCTCATCCCTGTGAGTGCAGAAGGATGATTGGCGTGATTCCAAAGTCACACCAAACCAGAAAGAAAACTATTTCAATTTAAAACATTAAAAAATATATATATATATATACATATATATATATATATATCTCCACAGGGGCTCCAAGAGTTAACTTCTACTTTCAGTGACCTACTTTGACTTGAGGCTGCCTTTCTAGGGGGTTGTCCTAATGAAGGTCAACCAAGAAAGGCAGCAACCGGCCTGGCCTTTGGATTTTAGGAGCAAACAGTCAGGGGGTCCAAGCTCCAGGATGAGAAGACTGAAAACATCTAGCCTTTTAATTTTTAATGGGTAGGTATCTTGATTCTTTCTTCCAGCAGAATGAAGAGATCTTTAAAAACTGAGTTAAGGGAGCTGGCTTTCTTTATGCCGCTCGATGCTTTTTAGAAGGCCCAGCATTTAATGTTATAAAACCCTTTTTTTTTTTTGGCATGGTGTCAGCTCTTTCCTAATGATCATTTATGCCAGTGAGATGCCCACTTAGATGGAGCTGGCCTACTTAGTTTACCTGAAGAGTGTGGCCGTGCTCAAGGTCCTGTGCTGAGATGCTGGTCTCCTGCGAGGGACCCCCTTGGCGACATTGCAGAGAAGTCTGACAGCTGGTAATCCGTAAGGCAGTGCAGTGCACTACTCTCAACGCAAAGCAGTGTCCTTCAGCAGAAAGCCCCTCCTAGGTCCGTTTGAGGTTGTGTTTCCTGTGAAATGCAGCCACAGACTAGGGTGGTGGGACCTGTGTGTGGGTAGGACTTCCTCTTAGGTCTAAGTGCAGTATGTGAAAGTCTCTCAACCCCAAAGGATGTCCTTAGAGATACACAGAGTCCCTAAGCAGCCCTTCACAGCTACAAGAACAAACTCACAGATTGTGGAGCAACACTCAAGCATGAAAGGTAGGTTTTGCCACTCTTGATTCACATGCACGCTGAACACTGATTAACTTACGACCTGATGTTGCAGTGGCTTCCTGAGACCACGTAAGACATGTGGACCAGATCCCTCAGGTGCTGTGGTGAGAACATGGGTCTGGCATGACAAATGCCTGGCTCTTCTTCCGGTTGTATTAATCATTAATTGTGTGGTCTCAGACAAGTTGCAGTTTGTCAACTAGCTTCCATGCCTGTGATTCAGGGATAGTAATATTTATATTTTAGAGCTTTCCAAGAAATGAACAAAATAATATAAATAAAGACATGTAGCAAGATTTGGGGCACATATTAGGTGCTCAGCATATTTAATTTCTCTCTGCCTTGCTTCCGGTTCATTTAAGCTGGCAGTAAGTCCTGGCGAATGCCTGCTGCAATCCAGCATGTGCCACTTTACCCTCTAGTTTTATAGTAATTGAGGTTGAATCCCACAATAAATCCTAATATCATTTAAAATAAATTCACAGGTAGAAGTTTATCTTTTCTTGGGTAGATAAATCTGGAGTTGACTTAACATATACCCTCAAGGTAACACTAAAGTAAGCACTCATTAAATGTTAATTATGTGCCAAGAACTGTGCTGACCAATTTGCAAGCATTATCTTCCTAAATCTTACTGATAATCATGTGAGGAAAACGCATTTAAACAAACTCATGTTGTAATTGTGAGAACTGAAGCCTAGGGGAATCCAAGACCTTTACCCACTTTATCAATTAGCTTTTGATGTACTAGGGACTTAAAACAGTAGCCATCTTATTTATCTCACTACTGTGTGGCTCACTTGATTGGTTCATTGCTCTGGGCTTGTATTGGTTTCCTGGGGCTGCCATAGCAAAGCTCTACCCAGTTGGTGGTTAAAGCAAGACAAATGCATTGTCTGCTTCTCCGTTCTGGAGGCCAGAAGTCTGAATCAAGGTGTCCACAGGATTGGTTCCTTCGAGGCTCTGAAGATAGAGCCTATTCCAGGCCTCTGTTTTGGCTTGTAGATGGGGATCTTCACCTTCACATGGCATTCTTCCCATGCCTGTGTCCATATTTCCTCTTCTTATAAGGACACCAGTCACATAGGAGTAGAGCCCACTCTAATGACCTCATTTTAACTTGACTACCTTTTGAAGACCCTGTCTTCAAGTCAGGTCACATTCTGAGGTACTAGAGGTTAGGATTTTAACATATGAATTTGGCTGTGGGGGGGCACAACTCAACTCACAGCAGGATCCGATCATCTGGTCTCTGCTGGTTGGCTGACAGGCAGCTGGAGGACATGGGCTCCTTATATTCATGGCAGGAAGTCAGCCAGGTGCCTTACTTCTCCACCTGGCTTCTCACCATCCAAAAGACTAGGTCAGGCTCATTTACATGGTAGCCTCAGGGCTTAAGGTGCAGCAGAGTGGGAAAGTCTCAGGCTCCAGTCTTTTCCGAGTATCTGCTTGCATTCTGTTTGCCATGGTCCCATTAGCCAAAGTAAATCACAAGACCAACTCCAGAATAAATGTGGGATAAGATCATCCAGGGGGTAGATACAGGGAAGGTAGTTACTGTACCCTTCTTTGGGAAAAAAAACCCTAATGCCCATGTTGGAATCTAGTTAGTAGTTGGACTGCAACAAAAACTTAAATCTTGATCATATGAAAGGTCCCTGCTTTTTACCAAAGGAGAATTGAAGATAGTTTGGTATAGTAAGAATGTGGTTATTAGTGTAGGTGGCTTACTCTGGGGACTTAGGGAAGACTCCCCTTACGATGGGGTAATAGCAAGGTCTTTAATGGTGAGCTAGAATTTGCTAGACCTAAAGAGGGGAAAGTGGGGTGGGAGAGAAAGGGATGGAAAGAAGGAAGGAGAAAAAGAAAAGAAGGGAAGAAGAATGGAAAGAAGGAAATAAAGGAGCAGGAAGGAAAGGAGAAGGAGGGAGCAAAGATCAAGGAGAACATTCATGGTCAAAGCCATAGTTTGTCTAAATGCCTAGGTGGAAAGGTCAGCATCTGTGGCTCACTGGTGGAACTTAAAAAAGCAAAGGTGACTAAGAGCAGACTCAACAGGGAGAGTGTGGCACAGAAGCAGCTAGAGAGACCCGCTGTGCTCTCTGAGTCTGAGCCAGCCACCCACAGGCTCCCATCATGTCTTCCTTTTTCTTGCTATCCATCCTACATTCCTCAGTTGGAGGACTCCCTCACAGTCATCTTTGATTTGGGTGATAATTTATTTTGTGTTAATTGCTTCATGGGCTCTTATCTCTTGCCCACCGCACTTCATATCCCACCTGCATAGTTTATGGGGTCCATGAACCTTGAGGCATGCTAAAGGGTATTGGGAAAATCTAGAGGAGTTTGGGTTTTAATGGCCAGATCAAAATTTGTGCGATATATCACTGAAAGTCTACCTGGATTTGGGCAAAAGACTTGACCATCTGTCTCATATGTAAATTGGGGATGATAATATTTACTGTGAGGATTGCATTACTTACCTCCTACAAAGTGTCTTGTACTATGCCTGGCATCTAATTAATATCAGTCCCTTGGTTTTCCCTGGGGCCCTCTTACAGTGCCACTACAGCATAATATGAAGCCACCAGAAATACTACCTGATGGTTGGGTAAGTGACCCAGCACGACTATGAAAAAAGGATGGGTATGTGCTGAGTTCCCTGCGGGTCTGAATGGGACATTTCTGTCAATGCTTGACACAGTGAGTTTGTTGAGAATTTACTCTCTGGCTAGTCCACTCAGGATATGAAGACCTTAGGTATATTGTGTGGAAGAATTACAGGAAAACAAAACCAAACAAAAACAAAAACAAAAAAGAAACCCCACAAAAAACCAGAAAGCAGGACTTTTAAGACCTAATTATATTCAAGTAGGACCATGGGTCCTGGGATGGAGGGAAAGAAAGCTTTTACTGGTTCTTGGAGGCCCTTCTGGGAGGCAGACCTGCAAGACTGTCAGGCTTTGGAGTTACTCTGGCTTTGTTCAAATCCCTCCTGGCTCCACTAATTGAATTACTTTCAGCAAGTTGTCTAACTTAACTGATTCCCTCATTTCTCACCCTTAAAAGAAAAGGAGCATGATATTCTTAACCTCATGGCAGTTTCAGTGCATGGAATGATAAATTTATCTCATAAATATAGGTAGAAGAGAAGGTATAACCACATGTCAACAATCTGGAACCCATTCAAACAGGTCACCAAATATTTTTTCAACTTCTATGAATTTAATGCACATATGGAGAAACTGAAATTTGTATCTATATTTTAAAAATCACTTATTTAAAAAATTCTTATTTTGGAATAATTATAGACTCACAAGCAATTGCCAAAACCATGTAGAGAGATCCCATGGAGTACCCATTACTCACTTTTCCCCAGAGAAACTGGCTTCTTGTGAATAAACATTCTACACAAAAACAGGCTTAATTCTCAATTGCTTTTCTCTAGAGCTGAGACAGTGTGTTGGAGAGGCCAAAAAAGCAAAAACAAAAACGAAAAATCATAATGCCTGGCCTAACCACTTTCCTGCTGTTCTTGCTCTCTCATTGGTTTTCTTTTGCAATTTTTTGAACAAGATAACTTCAGGTGCTTAAAAGAAAATTGCTGGTCCTGGGTAAGCATCCTAAACATCCTGGTGTTTGGTGTTTGTTTCCCTCCTTTTGGTGTGTGGTGACTGCCAAGTTCAGGCTCCTGTCCCACAGCTGGTCTCAGGATGGTGTCAAGGCCTAATATCGACAAACAAGGTGTATATGCACACACATATGCCCCCAAACACAAGAAAGACTGTTCAACACCATCATGATAGGTGTGTTTGTTTTATAAATTTCTAGTTGAGGGTACTGTCTCCTGTAATGAATCAAAATCCATGTAGTTTTTTTATAAATTATACGAGAGCTTCTGTGTGAGAACCTGGGTTAATTGGCACTATCATTTCTGTATGTTTTTTTTTTTCTCATAGTTTTGCACCTGTTTATGTCAGGGCCTTGGGCAGTTTGCCTTTGGGCCCCTGAAAGGGGCTCACCTTACACTAATTGCCTTTCATCCTACATCCTATCTCCTCCAGGAAACATATTATGAGTTTCTCTCAATTAGCTGTGATCTCTCTCACACACCTCACTAGCACTCTGGAAAGGGAAATCTTGATCTGAGCATGAGTTGAGCTCTGTGCTGAGTTTCAAATGCGCTCCATGTCAACTGGGTCTATGTCCTCAGCTGGGCAATTTTCATGACTGCAGAGAAGTAGCTCCCTAGGGAAAACCCAACATATAAACACAGTTGATATTCAAGCTCATCTGGTGTCTGGGGAACTATAGCAGGTGGGATTGTTCTCATATAAGTTCATTCTCTCCGGAAATGACCTTCAGAAGTCCCTGGCTTCCTAATACATCCTACAGGAAGGCAAACCCTAATGTAGGTAGACCCAGGGCTCAGTGTAGGAGTTCACAGGCCAGAGGTGAAGTGCCATTGTGAACATAACAAGGTTTCTGAACTTTGGATATATTTTCGGCTGAGTTTTGTTGTATTTGTGCCTAACTTCTTTGGAAATTACAGCATGGAAATGAAAAGTAAATACAGAAAGAGCCTTTCTCTTAAATCTCTGCATTCATAGAAATGCTAGGTGGTTTATTAAATAAATATCCATTAGATACGAATTCAGTGCTTAGTTCACACTACTTTTTACTGGAAGAACCTCACGAGGCTAACATTAAGTAAGACCTCATTGTTCTAGGCACTTTGCATAAATGCATAATTTAATTATCACAATTATGCCTCCATATTGGCATCATTGTTACTGTTACCCACCTGAAAAAGCAGAGCCTCAGCATCACCAAATTCTCACCACACTGGTGATAGAGTCATTTGTCCCCACTGTCTCCCAGCTTTGGAGTCATGAGGGCTCCACAGTGCGAGTGTGTCTGTCCTGCCAAGGTCATGGGAACAAGAAATGGCAGCGGCTATTGGGCCTGGTGAAATGCCAGTGAGAAAAGGATATGTAAGAGAAAGTGCAGCACAATGAAGGAATGATACAAGCTAGCAGGACAAAGAGTGGCCTGGGATATATGGGGTAGGGTGTTTCTTCATATAAGGCAGTGTGAGGTTGAGTTTCTGCAGA